GAGAAAGTCTCGGCCTAATACTCTATGGTCCGTACTATTCAAGACTTCTGAGCTACATCTGCTGAATTGGTTGCAAAACTATCTCACTGACTGACGTCAGTTCTGTAGTGCACGAAACAGTGGATCACCCTTCATGCTTATCGAGTGGCGTCCGGTTTGGTTTTCACACACAAATAGCATGGCTTCACCGACCCACGTCCGTCACAGAGCTCGACAGGATGCATGACTGAGGTTTGTCTCATTTCAACACAGCAAGATCGTGGGAAGACAGATGATCAATTCGGGGGTAGAAAAAACGTGTGATCAATTGACCAATGGGATGCGCTAAACGGAAGCGGATCCGACCACAGCGTTTCTTTCTCAATTCAAAAAGACGGTTTCGCAAATCAAAAATTATGGTTTCTCAAGGCGAACTTAAAATGGTATAGTGATAAACTTGAATGGATAGGACAAGGGACGCTCGGAGCGAGCGGAAATCCATTATGTTCCCCTCACTGATCGCAAACGTATTGCACCAGAACAGCACATGACACCAAAAAGTGGCACACAGCTACGGTGTCTGTAGCCCAAAAAACAATACCATTGGCGTAATCTGAGGCAGATTCCGTGCAGCGTTACGCCGTTTTATAGACATATTGGACTGGTCTGCCATGGGGACGATCGATAGAGCCTTCAGTAGTGTGAACAAAGTGAATTACGATGATGTAACAAGACTAAGAAGGCTCTGGTGACCGTTCTCAATGGCTTATCAAACAGTCATTTAAATGACAAGTTAGAAACTGAAATATTCATTAGAAATTTAATTGCTTTCACACAGCTTTGAAAAGTCTATGCCAAAAACACGATGTTGTATGCATGTGGTCAAATATCAAGTTACGGTGAGGATAAATTAGGGCTGAACAGCGCCCAAGAAAAGCAGAAAAGATCATTCAGAAAGACCGGCGTACAGCTTAATCTAGCTACATACAACGCACAGATTGGTGACCAGTGTTTTTTTATTGCACACCTAGGTGTGATGAACAGCAGAGGGGACGGACACCATAGTCACGAGGACCTGCTTGCTGTTCAGTGGTGAAAACCAGCAACCAAAGCTGCGGGACTGTGAGTGGCCAAACACATAAGGCCCCGATAGGTTAGGCGTGGTATTGAACCACCAAAGTCGGGTGGCGGTGACGGGGCTCGAACCTCGGATCATAGGGTCCAAAGCACGCTGGTGAGTGCGACTAAACCACTGCACGATGTGTACGTGTCTCTGCCCCACTGATGTTCATCACACACACACACACACACACACACACACACACACACACACAAACACCGCGTGCGCGATGTCAACAGAATCAGGATAGTGAGCTCATTACGAGCGGTACACGATGACACTATTAAGGCCGATTGATATGACGTGTATGCGTCGTGTAGAGTATTCCAGCGGTCAAGAAACGCATTTATCACGTGATACGATTTGACAGGGGGCATGTCAAAAAGAGCAATGTGAAGAGAATAAACAGTGATTTCGAATGCAAAGACGTGTTCACCGCATTGACTTTAAAATTCACTGGCAATCGGGGACGCATTCCACGTATTTGACCGCTACAAAATGATGTAAACAATCAAGGCGGACCAGGCAGGCGAGAGCGAAGGTAACTTGTTGTTCCACAATTCAGATTGTCACATGAATACCGAAGGCACAGACGTCAAATACATGGTTATTGCATGACATAAGTGAGGAATGTAGATCTATCTGTTCACTTCACATGGGATACTGAGCTGTTTTTTTTCATTGCACATGTTTACGTGATGAACAAACAATAGACGGGGTGAAAGCCATATGCACGACGACGCGCTATTCACTTATGGTCATTAATATTCCAACCTCGGGACCTGGGATGGCGAACAGCATGAAACCCTGCTAGGTTAGGTGTGCTACTGAGCCGGACGATGGTGAAGCTGGCTACGATCAAATTTAGTTGGCGGTGGTGGGGTTCTAACCTGAGACTACCAAGCCCAAAGCACTACGGTGAGATCAATTTAAACCGCTATTTTGTCGAGGGTACTAAGGACTCACGGAAGAATTCATCATGAATCCCAAGAATATAATACAAAGCAGCACCCTCAATGATCAATGGGCTTAGTATTGGTATAGGCGTCTTCAGCTTTTGCATAACCAAGAGCTGATTACGGGACATCAGAGCGATTATGACGGTCTTACTTGAAGGTAAGTCAAGCCCGGTGCTTTCGGTGAACGGTTGTGATTTATAATTGTCCGGGGAAAGCTCGCCATGCCCAATGTTATCATTTAGGATAGTCGAAGATCGCTAGTTCAATGTATCAATGTCTACCTAATCACTGTTAACCACCTAAGGTGAGTTTTCCGGCAAGCCACCTGCACACACGCCGGTTCGGCATAGACCTTTAGCAGCCAAACGCACGATGGGGATTATCGAAAAAAGGATACCGGGTGTTTATTTTGTGTGCGAAAGATATAAAGCATGTAAGAAACGGTATTATTAAGGTGTACGAAGAATAAATAAGACCACTGGAATAGATTCACGTCTGGATAACTTTCAGACTAGTAAAATAATGTCACAAATGGGTCATTCGGCCGTTGTGAATAAAAAGAGTGTTATGTTTATGGCTGTGAACAGTGCTTACGTGCTTCGATTGAATTGCCGTCATGGCCGATATGTGCGGACTGGACAATGGAGGCAGGTAATTAATCGACACAAAGCAGATACTGATACACCGTTGAAAATAGCGGTGACAAAAAACCAGAGTGAGTTTAATGGAAAAAGAGACAACACACCGGCAATTGATGGAGGTCCGGCCATGTGCAACTGACTGAGTGCTTCTTGTACCAGAGTCAAATACCATTGCCAATCGGTATCGGAACGAGGATAAGTGGTTGTGGTGTTGCCCTTATCGAAATCCGCGACAAATTCCACATTGAAGTGTTCAATCAACAGACCACAGGCACGAATTAGACTCGGTTTCGGATGGGGCACACCCAAATCACCGTTGAGCACGGAACGCGGATCGGATTGGGTGTCCGGGTCCAGTACGAACTGTTCCAGCTCGGGCACTAAATCCGGTCGGTACAGGTGAATCAGACAGAGCAAATTCGCACCGGATTCCCACTGTGTTGGTGAGAGATCGTGGACCGGTTCGATCAGCTCGAGAGATTCGTAGAAAGCCAGTCGGAATCGGAACCAGCGTAAAAGGGCCAGATTACAATCTGGGACTGATGTGTGTTGATTAAGCCCATCCCCGTCTCCGGTTCGAGTGAGCATGGATCGGGCTAGATTTAACTGATCACGTAACGGATTGGAACCGGCTTTGATGGAACCGTTAATCTCTTGATACCAATTTTTGGTGAGTTTAATTCCTTTCCCACCCTTGAGTGAGTACAGATGACGAACCTGGGCCGGACTGAACAGATTCAAATCACACCGGACGTATCTGATGCGCGGCGGTGGGGTGGGGTGGGGTGGCGGGGGGGGGGGGGGGAGGTGAGGGAAAGAATGAAGAAAAAACAACCTGTACGGAGTACTTGTTCTCCAATATTGGTCGTTTCAACAAGGGACACATAACATTCAATTTATTCTCGTTTCGATCCACGGTCATAATGTGCGGATTGACCTGATCACAATTTGCACTAATCGGAGTTGCAGACAAGGCAGGGGAGGAAGAGGATCAGACCGAGTCCAGAAGGGTTGCCTATACCGGGACAGGGTCAGTCGAAAGACAAATCCACACGCGGACATGTGTGTGTGTGTCTATGATTTGGTTCAATGCTTCGGATCACCCGATATCACATCACAGATAGTGGTGTTCGATAGGGTTGCCCTCTCTCCCCTTTTCTATTTAACTTTGTTATAGATTTGATTATGGAAACAGCCCTATCCTCGTGCGAGGATAGCGGCATCGAGTAACTTCCTGGTGGTAGACTGGCTGATCTAGAGTATGCAGACGACATTGTTCTACCAAGTGAAGATCCAAGTAAGTTGCAAGCCTTTTTGGACAGCTTGAATGCCAGTGTAGCCATGTTCGGTATGCATTTTGCACCTTCAAAGTGTAAAATGTTGCTACAACATTGGGTTGGTCTTGCTCCCAACCTCACATTGACTGGGGAAGTAGTAGAGGAAGTAGACAAATTTTGTTAACTAGGCAGCTATATCTCACGGATGAAGTGTTAGCTCGCATAATGAAGGCTCGGTTGGCATTTGCTAACTTGAGACATCTGTGGCGCCGTCGCGAAATCCGGTCGTATGTGAAGGGTCGAGTATATGCTGCAGCAGTTCGGTCGGTGCTGCTTTACGGTGCAGAGACTTGACCACTACGGAGACAAGATAAAAATAGATTGTCGATATTCGAACACCGCTGTCTGCGTCGCATTGCATGAGTCTGATGGGGTAACCGAAAGAGCAATGCTGAGGTTAGGCGTAGAGCTTTAGGCAACCGCGGTCGCCCACTGGAGCAAGTGGTCGACCACCTTAGATGAGGTTGGTTGGGACATATATTACGCATGTCACCAGAAAGGTTTCCACGGTGAACGACATTTGCCGTGGCAGGCAGCAGTTGGAAGAGGATCAAGGATGGTCAAACTAAAACCTGGTATGAAGGTATGAGAACCCTAACCAGGGGACTGGGTCACATAAGTACCGTTAGGCTGCCTGGATCGGGACCTAGGGATACACGTACCCGATGGTTAGAGACGCTGAGTGATATGGCTGGGTGTCATAAACAATGGCGCTCGTGCATCTACTTATTATTTTTGTAACTTCAGTCTGTATGAATTCTCCATCCTCCGCTTGAAATCGCTTTGAACATTCTAATCAGCATTCCGCTGTTTTGTCCAAATGGGCAAACGAAAGACAGCAACCGAAACCGGTGCACGAACGTGCATGGTTAATGGTTGTAAGAACTGAACTGAACTTCGGATCATTAAATTGCCCTGAATTCACGTCATGGTCTTATCAAATAGCACAACTTTCGCACCAACCTCAAGTCAGCTTAACCAGAAACAGGAAACCTGATCTGAAGGTGAACAATTCTATCGATGGTACACGAGCACGGAATCCACTCAAGTAGACTTAATCCGATTCTCAGCGATCAGACCACGGGTGTGATGACCGCAAAATCAAGACTTGACTTTGGCTAGATCTGTTTCAAGCAAAACCCATCAGACACACACACACACACTTAGTTACGATTTATCTCCTTGTTCATTTGGGGTAAAACGCGGTCTGCATCCGCACTGACAAGCTGCCTATTGGACTGCCGATGAATTTTTTCGAGCTTTACCCTGTTCACCTTTGCAGCCGCGAGGAATTTGTGCCTGTTGGCCGCAATCTGCCAATCAAATATATATAGAACCAACCAGATGGAGGAAAAGTACGGCATTGCTTACAAGGATGGGAAGTGAACAATACAGAGCTCCTAGTTGTGACATGCACAAGAACAATGAATATTCGACCGCACAGACGGGTATTTGTACATGCTCAAACCATCACAAAGGAGAAAGGAAAGAACCAAGCGAACTTACCGGGTTCGCGGATCCAGTGTATAGTCCGAGAAATTCGGCGGCATGTTCTGTGCGGTAGTTTGGCTCAGACGTTGATAAACTGACTCGCGTTGCACAATCACTTGGAGCGGATGCATCCCGGCGGCGAGACGAGACACTGCCCACGCGGCGTCCAGAGCGGAGAGAAAACCCAACGCACAACCACTGCCCGTGGGCCAAAACGGCTGAGTAACGGAGAAGGGCACAAGTAAAGGGGCGGTGGGAAAGTAATGATAAAACGAGGGAAGAACCATTTTCTTTTATTGTGGGGGGGGGAGCGGGGAGGATTCTTTGAGTTGAATGGAATACACGTTCACGACAAGGTGTCCTAAAATGTTAACATCTCGCGACAGTTGCCTTTGATCCCCAGTTGGATCGATGGATTTGAGCACTGCCGATGAGATCTAACCAGGTCGAAACAGCTGTCCAGTGCTTCCTAGCTTTTCAGTTCACGCTTCATTTGCCATAAACAGGATGAATTTCCTCTTTCCTATTTGTCTTCGTTCAGTATCGATAGATCGCCACAGCGAGCGATGTTTGCCGAGGTGAGCAGTGGGTGAAACAAAGCCAAAGGTGGTTATAATAATAAGACCTGGTACGAGGGGATGAATACCCGAACTCGGAAACTCGGTCACATACGTGTCGTCGGACTCCCTGGCTCGAGACCTCGGGATGATCGTAACCGGTGGCGTTGGTGCATCTGCTCAATTTCCTTGCAATATTAGTCCACTGAAGTTCACCATCATCTCTTCGACTCTTCGCCTTCAAACTTGCTGTCTTTCTCTTACCGCTTCATCCAAATGGGCAATGAAAAGACAAAAACCGAAACCGGTGCACGAAAGTACATGGTTGATGGCTGTTCAAACTGAAACTGAAAATATTGATCAAACATACACTTACACTACCACCACCATCACCGGAGTGATCAACTTCAGTGCACAACCTACGCAATTCACAAGAGAGATTTGGTCAATTCCCTTTGTTTATTTTTGTACAGTGATTTTTGACAAACTCTAAGCTGTTACGTCATCAAATGGATTCCAATCTACGATTACGAACTAAAACCACACAGAAAAGAATATCTTCATATTCGCGTATTGGTTCAAGGTGAAATTCTTTTTGCAGTTAGTTTTAGTTTTTTTCTTGTGTATGCCCGTTGAATGCCGGTCATCTTTATCGCGGAGATACTGCAATGGGTGGAGGTGGCGCAGTGTTTTAGTCGCTGTCACCGGCATGCTTTGGATCCTATGGTCCCAGGTTTGAGCCCCGCCACCACCACCCAACTTTGGTGGTAGGCAGCTTTGCTGTCGTCCGGTTCAATACCACGCCTAACCTATCGGGGCCTTATATGGTTCATCATTACAAGCCCCGGGGCTTAGGTTGCCAGTTTCCACCAATGAAAAGTAGGTCCTCATGGCTATGGGGCTTTTCCCATCTGTTGTTTACCACACTTATGTGTGTAATAAAAAAATATGGGATTTCTGACGTGAATGACAATACGGAAACCGGTGAAGATAGCCATTGTTTGGCACGGCACGTGCATCATATGGCGCGCACTTCCCCTTCTCATCATCAACGTTACAGAAGTCATCGTTCAGTTGTCAGGATTTGTTTTCAGGGGGCAGATTAGGGACAAAAATCCATTGGTCATGTATGGAATAGACATGATGGAAGGTACTACTACGGTCCGAGGTTCCAGCCTCGCCACCGCCACCCAATTTTGGCGGTGAACAGTTTCGCTCTTGTCCAGCTCAGTACCACGCCTAACCTAGCAAGACCTTATGTGGTTCACCAATCCAGGTCCCGAAGCTTAGGCTACCGGTTTCCATCACTGAACAGCAGGTCTTCGTGACTATGGGGTCCACTCCGTCGGCTGTTCATCACACACAAATGTGTAATAAAGTGGAAACTACCACAGCAGTCATGTGTTATTTCGTCTGACAGGTGAAAATGTGGATTTTTTTTGTTGAAACATCCAATGTCGGGGATCGAAGCCGATTGATCCAAATACGAATCCAATTTCCCATCCCCGAGTATTTGTTTCTTTATCTCTGTTCTATCNCTGCTCTTCCGAACACGGTTCAACGGTTCCCTCTCCCCGTAACCTTTTGTGATTCATCTCATTCTCAGGCGAGCAATCACTCTTATCAGGTTTTAATCCCCAAATATCAAACTTCTATCTTTCAGGCTTTCTCCCCAGGACTGTGAACTTATGGAACACCCTTCCCATCTCTCTATTTTCAATCCGTTATAGTATCACCTTTTTCGAAAGTAGAGTTAACCAATTGGCTCTCCTCGGAATGTTCTCCGACACACCATCCCCTTACTCTGTGACACTGACAATGTGGTTTACCCCCTTTGCTGTCCGTTCCTATGCGTGTAATAAGGTATTACTTTAGTCTAAATCGTTGTGAACATCCGAGGAATCCAGTGGATTTGATTGGCTGCTTCGATGATCTTGCTTGAATACCATTATTTGACCCAGTTCACGGCAAATTCCACACAGGCGAGAGATACGTTCATATTTGAAAACCCCATATCTACACGTAAGGCCCACAGATGCGCAACAACGTAAGACTTCATCCGAACTGACTGTTTACAAGTAGTCAGTTGCCGAATGCGAACATCATTCGGTCATTTACGCCACGCACTGTACATTGTCAGGTAAAACCACAGTATCCCGCCTCACAAATTCATGCATGTAATAGAGTGCAACTCAGAGTCTAATATAGGCTGCCGACAGAACTGGAAGCTTGCCACACGTGGAGTCGTTAATTAATCGGTGAAACCCATACATTATTCGAGGTGTGAAATTCCACAAACTGGTATGTCAAATAAATCTCTTACATGTACTAAGAAAGAGACACCAAACGAAAACGAGATTGCTTGTTTGTACTATAGAAATACGAAGTATTTGCGATTTAGGCACTGCTGGGAATTTTCAGAGTGTGAATACTGTGATATGCAGATAATGAAATCGAATACAGAGAGAGAGAGAGAGCGATTTAGGAACATTGAAATCTTGAAGGAAAATTCACTGTTGCAACGAATTAGGATGGATGGTGTTTGGTGATTGGAACAGGTGCTCAGCATATCTAAACGTCGTCTACCACTTCGCGGCCCAAATGCAGTCGGTGCAACGGAATAGAGGAAATCAAGCGGGGGGTCAACAGAGGTGTGGTGGGCCCCTTGGACGTTCGACTCCTTCCAGAGGGCGTATGATCCGACACCGGCCCCCAATTGGCTGTGGTTTTCACACAACGCCCCATTGCCTCGTGGGTTAGGCTTTGGCTAACCGAAGGCTCTGGTTGTGTATTCCCCAAGGAAATTCAACTGCAACCAAGCAGTATCGTACCCCCGAGCAAATCAAGGACCTTCTTTTCTTTTTCATAAAGACTATTTTACCATGATTTGATGGGCACAGTGTGAGCTCAGATGTGTGTGAAAAAATAATAAACTGCGATACACTGAAGGACATGGTGGCGAACCAACAATATTGGATTTGCTCATTTTCCGACTCGTCAGAGAGACGTGGCTAACCCTATGCACGTTTAAACACTGTGCAGTTTGCATAACAGACTCACGAATCTCAAGCGGTAAACTAATTTCCTTTCGTATAATTTTCTCAGCTGTTCAGGCCACATTCCGACTAAATTCATAGCGACAAAATCTACAATCACACTGCATGCATCCTTTCTAAAATAAAAATTCACAGGTGTAAGCGCGGCAATTCACACCGACCAGAGGGCGTCTAGCACGGCTGGAGTGGAAGTGGGTGGATAGAATGTTTATCTACAGCCCGACATCATCATCAGCACACCAACAGTACGTGCGCGCACGCCGGTGTATGTGTCTAACTTACTTCGAACAAGCCATCTCCAATCAGGCATTGCATAAGCAACAGATCACTCCGTTCGATAATTCGACAAGAGTACTCGGCCGCAAACATCCGGGTGAAATCGAACACTTCCACGTCCGGTTCACCACGCGCATTCACCGCGAAATCCAGCTGAACCAGTTGTCCCTTGGTCACGTAGTGCGCGGTCTCACGCGCGTACGCTTGTAACGCCTGTTTGTCCACATTGTCCGGGCTGAGCAGGCTGTTCGAATCCTCTCGATCCTGACCGGTATGAGAGATGCGATGGGGCGGGGGAGGCGGGAGGAGGTGAAGAGTCGTGAATGTGTATCCGATGAGAGAAATGCAACGGAATATGACACTTGATAGTCCCAAAATGAAACGTGAACTTAAATATCTGATAAGTATTCATTGCACAAGGTAGATATTTATTCTGAGACATCACAATATTCCGTTCGTTACCCAGCGGACACGACTGAGTAGATAAATAGTGCGAACACAATGGATGAAAAGCTCCAGTTTCAAGCATTGATTTTTGTGCAAAATAGATATCTGAGACACTTAATTAAACGATTGATTCAATGCAATAAGAAGATTTTAAGGAAAACCGAGGCTAAACTAACGTCACAGTACACATTTGTTTGCCGTTCAAGACGGGGTTGCATCAACTGAGACCATACAACGGAGATTATCCAATGCCATGGATCGGACGTTCTATGCAGTCAAGCGTCACGAGTTGTTCGAATTCAAGTCCACTGTCGGCCAACCATAAATCAGACAAAGAGTGATCGACTGTGCTGTTTCAGTCGGTGTATGAACTGATTTATTCGTTTCAGTGGAATAAATTGCTTGGGTCGCAAGGCGATGTCCGAACGGATTCGTGAACACCTGTTTCATTTTGGTTTTCACAACCATACACCCATTCATTTTCATGCGCCAGTTTTGGTTGCTGTCTTTCAGTTGCCCATTTGGATAAAAAAACAATGAATATTGGAATGTTGGGAGTAGAGTCAAATTATAGGTAGGGAATTCATATAGACTGCGGTTGCAAGAAATCTGAGTAGATGCACGAGCGCCACTGTTTGCGACACCTAGTCGTATTACTCAGTGGGTCTAACCACCCGTAACTATGACCTCAATATCTCCAACCAGGGAACCTAACGGGACATGTGACCCAATGTCTTGATTAGGATTTTTAATACCCTTGTGCAAGGTTTTAGTTCGACCGCGCCCGAGCTCGTCACGTGCAGAAGACAATCGACGGAGTATGATGCCAGCGAGCAGTTTAGAGACGATGTTAAATAAACTGATTCCCCTGCGTTTTGCACAAGAGAATCTGTCACCTTTCTTGTAAATCGGTATGATGACCGATTCGCACCACTCTGTTGGAACTTGTTCCCTCTTCAAAAACGTTCTCGGGAGTTTCTTCAAAACTCCAAAACTATGGCTGAACCTCCATCTTTGCAAATCAATGGGGACAGCATGTCCGGGCCGGAATTCATATACCTTTTTAGATAATTTACTTCCTGGGTAACCTACATTAACATATGGAGGATTGGCAGTATGTTCCCAGATGAACAGGGTATAGGGAAGTTTTGTGTCGACGACGGCCATCTGAACTGTCTTAAAGTGTTCCAGCCAGCATTCAGGACGACGTTGCTGATGATGAATTAGTGTGCCATCAGACTCCTACTCTCCTCTGGCCCGTACCCCTAATTAAACGAAAAAGATTACGACTATTACCGATAACCGCAGTTGTCTCCATCTCTACACACTTCCCTACCCACCACTTCTCGCGACCATTTTTCAGACTCTTGATGAACTAGCGTTAAAGGGATTTACGCAGTACGTCATATGTGGCAGCAGAAAGAGTAGCTTTGCGAGAGTCCAGCATGGCAGCCGAGGTCGAGGAGATCCATGGATTATGTTTTGGTCGTGAATCTTAATCTGTAGTTGTTTTGATTGACATTTGGGCCGCTTCCTTGATTAGCATCCAATGTTCACTGCGTGCCTCGGCTGATGATTGAGCTGAAAGGGGATCAGAGAGTTCCACCTCGAAAGCCTTGTTGTATTTATCGTTGACATTGTATTGCAGGCATGTATTTCCAGTGACTTTTCTGTGGTTGTTTACCACATTTAAGGAGATACTGACTCGTGGCAGAGCATGGTCCGTGTTCACCGGTGTTGACAAGTAAGGTTGGCAGTTTTGAATGAATCCTCGCCAGCGATAGCTGATGATAATGTTTAAATTCGTGTGCCCCGCCCCCGCCAAAAAAAATTTGTACAGGCGCTTAAGCTCCTTGATCTAAACACCCACTTACCGCCCAACATCTCGATGATCGGATGAATGAACAAACAATATTGTAAATATCGCCTCTCTAGTAGATAGATAAAATTAAACCCCAGTGAACTTTTTTTTCCCGAAGAACATGTACTTCTTATTGAGGGACATATCGGCATGATTACGACAAAACTGCAAACAAGCCTGTTCGACGTTCTGTGTATTGTGTGACATCACAGTATCTTTCCGCAGAAGAAATCATCACTGTCCGTGTTCTGTCTCGGGCATTGATGCGCACACACACACACACACACCAATGCGGGGAAAGGGTAGGGAAAGCTTGCGTGTGTGTGTATTCGTGCATCAGAACTCCGACGAAGCTACACACCACCATCACCATAGGATCGAAATTTCAATGGCATGTCTTCTACAATCTAGTCACTACACGGTGTGTCTCGGAATTGAAGGCCACAACCGTACAATCGCTTCCAGCTCGTTCAGTTCAAATAACAGTGCAGAGTTCCTTGAGTGGTGGAGAATACAATCTGATTGCACGATAACTTCAGTAGCATACAAAGCATGGACAAAGGGGAATTCGGGAGCTGGAAAGTACGGACGGAACATCTGTTTCGATTCTCCGGTGGATTGAATCAGTGGTGGGAATCCGCAGATCAACTAGGGATTTCATTCGGGACAGTTTAGTGCAAAAAGTAAGCATACCATTCGCTTGATCATCGGCTGGCTGAGAGAGAGAACTATTTCATTCAACTTGGTCTGCATTGGTTTGGAGTTTAGTGGTTTGCTGGACAAAGGGATACGTTCAAAAGACGCCCCCCCCCTCCGCATAATATCGACTATTTATATCCAGCACGGCATCCAGGCTGTGTGTGTGTGTGTGCGTGTATCTTGTTTTGATTTGAGGGTCCCAGGGAATGTGAACCAAATCGAACTGTTGAGAAGAGTCACATACCATAATGTGGGAGGGCTTGATTGCAGTTTGCCGGATTTTTTCTTCACAAATCTGGTCAGACGAATGAATGTACTGTATCCGATTGAACAGAAAATACGGCAACGGGATTACGACTAATTAGAAACGCGAAAAATATATAGCATTAAGTTCACCAACATTCCCTTGATAACAAGAAAATAAATCACGGAAAGAGTAAAATACATTCCATTTCGCCTATTCGCCGAGCTTGGCAATTTGTTTGCAAACGTTTCATCACCAGTCGAGGTGACATAATCAGTGCTTGTGAAGTGAAGTAAAATACATAATCACGGTTGGTGGTGGCGTAGTGGTCTAGTCGCTGTCACTGGCGTGCTTTGGACCCTACGATCCGAGGTTCGAGCCCCGTCACCGCCACCCAACTTTGCTGTCGTCCGGTTCAATACGACGCGTAAGCTAGCAGAGCCTTATGTGATTCACCACCATCACTGTACAGCAGGTCTTCGTGACTATGGGGTCCGCCCCGACTGCTGTTAATCACACACTGGTGTGTAATTAAAAAAACCTACTGTTCGGTATTAGAAACCTGTTGTTATATGGAAAAACGAACAATACAAATCCCTAATAGGAGCGAATCGACGACAGTCAATGCATCTATCTTCAATGAGTCACGAAGACTGAAGGGTTCGAATCTAGGACCCAAGAGCCTGAATCACACTGATGATAGGTTCTTGGTTCACTTGTTCACGTTTGACAAGAAAAACACACAGAAGAAACTCACCTGTTTCAGCACACCCTTGGCCAGCAAACTGTGCTTCTTCGCGGTCATTACAAAGTAGTGCGTTTCATCTTTGTAGTATACAATATTTTCCAAATCAATCCCCGTGTCCGCGGCGAGACGGGCGAAAAATTGCTGATTGAAAATACTCGACACACCACTGATCTCCTCGACCTGGGTCTCGGCCGGGGTGTGATAATTCACAAAATTCACAGTGATTGCCAACGCCAAACGGCATCGTAGCTCCTTGCTCGGGAAACCTGCAAACGGCGGGGGTGGGGTGGTGGAGGGCGGGGGATAAGGATCACTCAGACGACAGTGCATATCCGGATTGCGGATGCGAATCAGAAAACAAGTGTAAAACAATCGATGGTCCAGTTTGCAGTGATGATTTCAAAATGGTCATGGCCATATCTGATCCAAGATCCGGGTTTGAAAAGCTATGTTGGACCGGTTTTATTTACTGCGGTACTTCGAGACCTGACTGGACTGTGTGATGTGAAACAAATTTTGATCTTATCTCCAGTAGTGAACATATTCAGTTAGCAAACTACACCAGCACGAATGAGGTGTGCCAACACAATGTGTTACTGCTCAGATCAGAAGGACTTGGTATTCCTCAACAGAGAGCTGCATTGCCATATCAACACGAGCAATTCAATCCCTACGAATGAAAGATTGTCCGTGACTGTGGCCCTATATCGGATTTCCAAAATGTCTGAATGTTTTTTACTGGAAAACTTGCCCGGGCCCAGAATGTGTGAAACAAACATCATGTGCGTGTACACACGCATCGCTCGAACGTGTTTGTATATATCAGGACTGAGTTGAGTCGACCAAATGTGACCAAGTTTATCATCTCTACCTTTCAAAATAAGAACAGTTCTCTGCTGCAAAACCAAAGGCTACTTTATACACTAGGTTCTAATTGATCGTCAGTTTCTGTTTGTCTAATACAAGATGGATATCACTTTTCGATACAGTAAGTTTGACGGTACATAGAACATTGTACGTTATCCGCTGCGTGTCCAATTTGTAGCAAGAAAGAACGATTGGGTGATGAATTGTGAGAGAGCGATCGTCGACGAACAACGATGTCTTAAAATGTGGCGAACTTTTGCCTGACAAGCGAGCATTGTTCCACAAAAGGACCAGAAATATTTGTTAAAGACACGGTGGGGTAATTGAGTCCGTTACCATCATCCTGTTGCCTACAAAAGCCTCAGTGTGGTCTGGGGTGGCGGTTGGTCACTTCTCCCTTGCAGCTCACGAAATGCTCCCATTTGACCAAGCATCACAAATAGCCTCTGCTGAGAAAGCCCTGCCAACTCCTGGCAGAGGTGTTTTCCCACCCAAGTGAAAGGACTAAAAGTTAATACCCGGGGCTATAACCGGGTTGGTGAACCACTGGTAGTTCACCTAGGTAAGTTGGCCAAAAACCCTGATTCCAAACCAACCATGAGGTGTACAAACCACACACACACACACACACCTTCGCTGTTATGGTNCACCTTCGCTGTTATGGTAGTGGTCACCTGCTCGATTGGGCATGGAGGTGTACTGTACACCTTGGACGTTTGAACCAGTCCAAAGGGCGAATGATCCGATGAACTGGACACCGGCCCCCAATAGATTGCGGTTTTCACACACCGCCCAGCTGCCATACGGGTTAGGCTTTGGCTAGCCAAAGGTTCCGGTTATGAACGCCCTGGGAAAATTCACCTGTTTTAGTCTGGGAAACCTGGTAGTACCGCTCCCTTGAACAAATTACGGACATTCTTTCTTTTTTGTTTGTTTAGCACACATTCTGAAATTAGACATTGTGTGATAAAAATAAAATAAAATGCCATAATATTAACCCGTGGGTGTATAAAGGCTCTTCGAAGACGCAGCTGGTGGCATTGAGGATACCATCCTATACCATAATACAGGAGAAAATGAATCGCCTAACGCTCAGGTAGGAAAAAGGTGCCTCAAGGACGATTATCTCCTAAATATAATCTAAACAAAACACCGGCAAGAATTACAACAAAATACATTATTCTAGCCCAATGGTACATGTTACGATAGTGTGGATTTTCTACCGTTATTTACTTGATACACAACAACAAATTGACATTCCGAAATTGATGCACACCGCAGCGCTACGTTTTGAACACGAAATCCAGCTCACATGAGAGTCAGTGAGTCCGTATCTCTAACAGATATGTGCAAAGTAACAGACACGGGTCGATAACAGATCAGAACAGGAGACAATGTTGCATGGGAGAGGAATAATTATGACAGGGTTGATCAGAACCTTTATATGCCATAGATCGACTCGGACGGGCAGAACACTGCAGCTCATTTTTACCAGCAGCGACTGTACAGTTTTTCGCGGGGCAGATGATCTTCAAGCACGTATTTGGAGAGGTGAACGGAATCAATGACTGAGCGATGCGGATGAAATTTGCGAGTAGGGGAGGGATAATCACATCATACCCTCGAACTGGTTAGGATTATCTAGGGGAGTGGAAGTATACTAACACCAAGGTCATCCCATCCCGTCCACACAGTTCTGACAAAACGACCAAAAAACAAGTGAATTATATTTGAGCTGTCCGGGACCAGGCACGTGACACGACTGGGCGGGGGGGAAGGAGAAGACAAGAACATCGCCGGAAGGAAACAGGGCAGAAACAAAACGATCTTTCGAGATCGAGCGAGGTTTCANTTCATGGGATTTACACTGATCTAGTTGAACTCCAACGTTTAATCCACTCACTCTGTCTGAAATAACGAGTGAGCACTTGTCAAAATCTTCATCCCTCGAAAGCTATTCCTGACCATTTCGATGGGGGGTTAACGACGCACAGGTGGAGACAAATGCATGAGAAGAAGTGTGTGTGTGTGGGGGGGGGGAAGCAACTAACAAGGTGAACATAGTAGAGATGGGGGGTTAGCCTTTGACTGATCTAATCGGTATTCCGGGGAGATCATCCTGCCAGGATCAACAACAATCCGATCAGTGAATTTCCATCACAACTGATCTGTCTACCGTTGCTGTCCCGGATGAATGGAACCAACAGAAAAGTGGTGAAACAGTGGTTTGAATCGAATAGAAGCTCACGAATAAAAAAGTCCACCGTTTTCATTTGTGTGCGCGTGTGTTGTTGTCTACACCGGAGCCTTGACAACGAACGGACAAATACTCACCAGATTTATATGACGACGGTACACATATTCCAGACATGGTGATTACCGAAAAATGGCTATCCAAAGATGACTGTGTACCGCAAGCAGTACAAGCAATCTATGCGATATACAGAAGGACGAGAAAACATAAACAGACTGAGAGAACGGGGGTATCTTCCTTAGGAAGACTACAGGCTATCTGGGATCCCAGTTAAAGGTCTGTAATCAGAACTGCCCAGTATGCACAAACGCACGCTTGTTCTTTCGAAAGGGAAAAGAGCTACATGAGAGGTGTGTCTAAGGGTCACCAAGCACNNNNGAGATGAATCGATGCTTGCAAGTTTTAACACCTCTCGTCATAAATGCCCATAACACTCGCATAATGTGTGACTTCAACCTATCAAATTGGGGCGGTGGTGGCCACGAGGTTAGGGTCAATAAATTACCGCCCCAGAGGACTTGTTTTTTGGGATCCAACAACCACCGTCTGACTTCCCCAATCCGTGTGTTGTACGACAGCCCTCTGACTGTTCGCCTCTAATTCCTGAAAATTGTACCATTATGTATTCAATAAGAGTGAAATAATAGTTAACTGGGTTGCTGAAACGTGCATCTCGGGATCTTACGAAGATACACCGGTGAAATAGCTTCACGGGGATAAGCAAAGTCAACGTTTTATTATGGGAATAGCTTGCAAGCTGGTGCTTCTCTTGTCCCATAAAATATTTACACAGATGAATCGTTACAAATGGAAAAAGGAGTCGCACAGAGATCCGGGTAGGAGATAGAGAATTTAGGCTACAGTGAATTTCCGTTTGCCTTTAGTGTACGAATGTGAGGTGTGTCAAGGTTTTGTCGAGTCTCTGCTTGAAAGATTTAATAGTGGGTGCACAAACGAAATGCGATGGAAGGGCGTTCCAAGATTTGCATACTCTGATTGCAAAAGACTGGCGCCGGCAATCCAGTCGAGACTTTGGAATCAGTAGTCTGAAACGATGTCCCCTTAGGTGTACATTGTTCGATAACATGAGAAGCAATCGACAAGGATGGTTTGGGTTCTGCAGTATTTTATACGTCAAAATCAAGTCTCCTCGAGTTCGGCGGTACTGAGCAGAATAGAGTCCCAATGATCGCAATCTGTCTTCATATGACAGGTGATGGAATCCTTTGACC